GATCATGGCATATAATCTTTTTAATATGTTGCTCTATTTGGTTCACTAGTATCTTATTTAGGATTTTCGCATCTGTGTTCATGAGAGATATTGGTCTGTAGTTTTCTTTTTGTGTGTTATCTTTACCAGGTTTAGGTATCTGAGTAATATTGGCCTCAGAAAAGGAGTTGGGAAGTATTGCCTGCTCTTCAATTTTTTTGGAAGAGTTTGAAGAGAATAGTTATTAAATCTTCTTTGAATGTTTGGTAGAATTCGCTGGTGAAGCCATCTGGTACTGGACTTTTACTTTTTGGTAGGTCTTTGATGATTGTTTCAATTTCCATACTGCCCAGCTTCTTGTGTATGTGTATGCACTATCTCTCTCCTGTGAACGAAAGGTAAAGTACTGGAACAGAGTGGACAGCACTGATGCCATAAATATTTTTGCATCTTTTGCAAACTGGCTGAGCATCCAGATGCCACATTATGCCTATGAAAGAGACTAGATAGTGGTGAGGTGCTCTGGGGAAGAAAATAATAAAATACAGAAACTCATTTACTACAAGGGTGTATCTCAAATATCCACTTAGTATAGCACCTCAAGCTATATCATTTCAAATACAAGACCCAGTGACAGTGGCAGGTAGAATGTTGTTATTTATAGATGTGACAGAATAAACAAGGTCAGTATGGTTCACTATGCAAGGTGAGGGTCTCACTATTCAAGTAGAGAATACTGGCAAAAAGTAGGGCCTGTGTGTGAGGAGCAGGGTACAGGGCAGGAGAGACCCTCCAGGGAGGGAGAAATTGTGGATGAATGTGCATCTTTGAGTCTGGGTCTATGTGTCATGCTCACTGGGGCTGAGAAGACAAAGCAGAAACTCCACATTTCACTGACTTGTAGTCTCTTTCCTCCAGAGCTGTTTCCAGCACCTGGTAAGACAGCCAAACTCTTGCAACCCACTAAGGGGAACTCAGTGATCCTGTCTTGTGACACCCGACTCACTTTAGAAAGGTCAGGGACCCAGCTTCAGTACTCTTTCTTCAGGGACGGCTAAACCCTGAAGTCAGACTGGAGCTCATCAGTTTTGGATCTCAGCATTAGTGGAAAGAAGACCCAAAATGTTACTGGTATGAGGCAATGATAACAATGACAGTGTCTTGAAGTGGAATCATTAATCTTATAAACATGTGCAGAGTGAGCATTAGTGGCTGGGCTGCCAGGGCTGGGACAGGCAGAGAACAACAGTAGCTCCTGGCCAAACCTTGGGTTTTCTTTGCAGTTGTGCTTCCCTTATCCCTGTGAATATGGGGCTACAGTGGCCAGTCTAGGCTTTGCTCTATTAATTGCTACAGTGGCATCATTTCTCAATAGTTTTGCTTTTCCTGTCAGAAAAGCAATATTAATTTCTCTCTGGAGTAGTTACTGTGCAAATAGCACTGAGGTATGATAGTAAACCAAGAAATAATAAATCATGGTCTCTGTCTGCAAGGAGTGAACCCTAACTAGGAACCCAGGTAGAACAATAAAGAAATAATATGTTGATTTTACTACTACTACTACTACTACTACTACTACTACTTCTACTACTACTACTACTACTACTACTAATAATAATAATAGCAACAACAATAAGAATCCCCAGATCTTATTAAAGGCTTCTAAATGTCAGGCTTAAACCCAAGCTGTTATATTCAGTTCTAGAAGAACCCCTCTGATTCTGAGATATCGGAAGAGGGGAAGACTTAAAGTCTACCAAGTACAAAGCATTGCTCAGAACAGTTTTATATTCAGTGGTTCCAGCATCCCTGTGAATACTACTGAAGTGTAAATAGTATCTGTAAAGTAGGTGCTATTATTACCCCCATTTCGCCCATGAGGAAACTAAAAGCACAGAGCTGTTAAGTGACCTGCCCAAGGTAACCCATCACATAAGTGGCACAGCTGGAATTTGAACCGAAGCATTCTGGTGGCAGTGTATGCCCTTTTAACTACCTTGCTACACTTTCTGTCTCAACTCTGCCAGTGGAGAGTGGTAGGAATAATAGCTACCAACTGCTGAACATCTGCAATGTATTAGGTGTTTTATACATGTATCTCGTTTTATCTTATCAGAACTCTGTGAAGTTGATATGATTGTCCACACTTTATCTTTAAGAAAGCTGAGGATCAGAGAGATTAATTGACCTACCAAGACAATGCAACGAATAAGTGGCAGAGCTGTGTATGGACTCCATAGCCCATGCTCTTCCCACCACTTTTGCTGCCTGAAGTTCATCAGGAAATCAGGAGGGAGCAAGATTACTGTGGGCTATGTTCATTAGAGAGGGCTAATGAGTGTGGAGGAAGTGGAAGTTCAGATTTTTAGACTGTTTAGTTGCAAGTGGTCCTGACTAATGGCCTTCAGCATGCTTCGTCCTCACCAAAAAATTCTTATGCTTAAACATTTGATTCCACCTACTCCACCTGCCATAATGATCAGCAGGTGGTACCAGCCTCTACATCCTATCCTCACCTGTCATTTTGTTTTCACATAGGAATCTCTTTATCTGGAGTGCTCCTAGAGACTTAGTCCCAGGGGTTCAGGCAGTTGAAGGAAAAATGCTGGTCCTTGTCTGCTCCATGGCTGAAGGCGCAGGGGAAACATTCTCCTGGCACAGAGAAGACATAAAGGAGAGTCTGGGGAGGAAAAGCTAGCAATCCCAGAGATCAGAGCTGGAGATCCTTGTTATCAGGGAAAGCCATGCCAGGGGATACTTCTGTACAGCTGATAATAGCCATGACCTCATCCAGACTAAGACAGTGAATATCACTGTGAAAAGTAAGTAGTGCTCACTTAATTAGCCAGCAATTCCCAGACTAGCGTCAGTTCCCTTGTGTGGCAGTGAGGATGTTCTAAGGATGACAAGGAACAGAGCCATGAAGAGGTTAAGAACATGGTAAGATTGTTGTTACAATGATGGTGGTGGCTGTGGCAATGGCAACATTGGCAGAGGAGCTAAAGGAGGATGACACAAGGCAGGTTATGTGACATGGCCAGAGGCATATTCTCCAGAATTCCTCACCAGAGATTGTCAAAGCCCTGCTGGAACTGTCTCTGCAGCATTAGATTGAGAGGTGAGATAGTGGGAAGGAATTCATGGGGCTGTAGAGACACTGTGAGGACCCTGAGTGAGTACAGGGCAGGTTATAAGTTTGTACCAGCAGAAGAGACACTTTGATGGATTCTACTGCCTCTATCAGTCCCAATGTCACATCCTTCCTCACTATCAGGGCTTCTGGGGTCCAAGTCTTCATTGGAGACATGGTGGAGCTCCACTGTGAGGACAAGAGAGCATCTCCCCTGATTCTATAATGCTTTTATCATGAAAATATCCCCCTAGGGAACATCTCACTGCCTTCTAGAGAAATGCCCTTTGACTTCTCTCTGACTGCAGAGTATTCTGGGAACTACCCCTGTGAGGCTGACAATGGCTTGGTGGCCCTGCACAGTGAGGTGGTGGCACTCAATATCACAAGTGGGACATGTCCAATGTCTTCTTCCAGAAGACCAGTTGCAATCATGCCAAACAGTAGCTTAATGTATCCTTTCCATTAGATGTTCCTGTCCCTCAGGGAATCAGAGTCCAACTAGAGAGTCCATCTGCTCTCCCAGGCTTTCTTTCTCATTGGTCTTAACAGCATCACTGGCCTACCACTTCCCCTATTTCCTTTTCACTTTACATCATCAGATATGTGTGAAATAGATAATATTTGTAGGACACTGTACTAGGATTAAGTTAGCATTAGGAATGGAGCAAATGAGGCATCGATAGAAGAGGGAGACACCCCTAAGAAAAATGAGGAAAGATCCTTGCACACTCAGCTCACAGTGAGCAAGGAGACACAACTAAGCTTTGTAAAACTTAAAGAAAAGGTTGAAAAAACATGAACAAGCCAAAAGGTTGAAAAAACATGAACAAGCCAAAAATTTACTTGGATTATCTCATTTAATCTTCATAACAACTCTATTTTACTAATGAATAAATGAAATTTAGATGGAGCCACGTGCCCAAGGTCGCAGAGCTAAAAGGTACAAAGATGGAACTCTAGGCTAGGGCTACCAGAATCAAGAAGCTTTGCTCTTCGTCACATCATGATATATGTTTTAATATATCATGATGGTTATAAGATATTTTTTCTTTATTATTGTGCAAAAGTTCATTAATAGGTTTCCTAATATGGAATAATCATTGAATTCCTTCTATAAACACTTCTTAATGATCATATCATCACAAGTAGTAGCTACATACAACTTGCTAATATTTATTTCATATTTCTGCATCCTTATTTATAAGTGAGTTTTCTTTTTTGAACTGAGTGAGAAAGGTGACAGAATTAAGAAGTACAAATTGGCAGTTACAAAATAGTCAAGGGGATGTAAAGTACAGCATAGGGAATACAGTCAATAATATTGTATGGTGCCAGGTGGGTACTAGACTTATCTGGGGGTTATATAAGTTATAAATTCATAAGTTATATAAATGTTTAACCACCATGCTATACACCTGAAACCAATATAATACTGAATATCAACTGTAATTGAAAAATTAAAAATAATTTTTAAAAATCCAGGTCACACTCCTTATATTGTTCTACAATCCCTTCAGTACTACCAAGTTCTTTACCTAAACAACTCTCTATTCATCAAAATAAATGCAAAAACAGGAAGAGTGCTAGGTGAGGAAGATTCAGATGCTTCTTCCTCTCCTGGATTCTAATGGGAAAGGAGGGAGAGGGTGGGAAGGATACTGTAAAGACTCTAGGTTTATCAAGGAAACTAGGCCACGAACTGTAGGGACAGAGCTCCTTCAGGGTGGAGTAAAATAAAGAAAGCCTTCTGTAGATCCCAAAACCTCCTGTGACTGGGTGGACAGTCAACGAGACTGCTCTCTCAGCCCTAGCCCCAGCCCCAGCCACAAGCTCTGGTGAAACACCCCAATCCCATGGGTCAGGAGTAGAGAAACAGCTTTTGAGAGGTACACGATGAGAAGAAGGTCTTTAGAACTACTGGGTCAATGTCCAGTTTTAGGACCATGTAAAAGCCTGTGGCTCATTCAGGGAAATTAAATTAGCATTGGGCACTGGAAAGGATCCAGGATTTGGAGTTAGCTGTGCAGATCTTGAGGACTGCTTTAATCACTTACCACCCATATAAACAGCAAACTCCTCTGAAGCTCATTATGTCTGTCAGAAAAGTATCATCAGGGATAGTACTTGGCTCAACTTCTAACAGAGTTGTGACAAGATTATATGCTCATCACTCATAGAAAAAGTCTGGGAAGAAATTCCAGGAGCTTACTCCAGACTGCAGATTTGGGATGGTCTCCATGAGATGAGTGGGTCTGGGGCATGATGTTAGCCTTTTGTAACACAGAAGCCCCAGGTCTGGAATTTGCACCTGGGTTTAGATATTCCAGAATAACCACCAGGAGGACCAGAGGTATGAGAAATGCTGTTTATTACTCACAAGGTAGGGAAGCTTCAGCAGTGGCTAGTCAAAGCTGCAGGAATAAAACTGCTGACCAAGAGTAAGCAGAAGTTTTTATGCACACGAGCAGAGGGAGGGGTTATCTTATTGGGGGAGCAGCCGCCTTCTCCAATGGATGGGAGCAAGATGTGCTGCTTAATTACAGGAGCAGAGAACCTCCATGGGAGCAGCAGGAAATGTCCTTGGGAGTAGGCACTGCTGAAAGCTTTGTGTGCTGTCTTCCTTGGGTGCTGGCAGGGCAGCTACCAGTCTTCTGAGTACATGGAGGGGCTATGAACCAAGTTAACCCTACAGCTTTCTAGCTTATTCTTGGCCTTATCTTTCTGGCAGTGAACTATGAGTTTGTCTTGACAATGCCTTCATGGATTGTCTCCTCCTTAGCACTTTTTCCCTTTGTTCTACAGCAGTCTTGTCTAGTTCTTTTTGAAGATTTGGAGACTAGAGACCAGCAGACCTCAGATTTTCTCCTTTTTGGCCTCACAGGCCTAACTGGTCCAACACCAGGTAGGCCCTTAGAGCTTCTGTGG